CCCCTACCCCACTCCCTCCCTCACTGTGGGGGCCTTGATCTGCACCCCCCCATGCCCCTTCCCTCCCCAATGCTTCTTTCCCCACCCCACAGGCTTACCAGCCAGACACTGCTCTTCAAGCTGGTGGGCTGCATTCCTGGCTGTGTACATGCTGCAGCTGTGTGCATGCACATGGCATTTATCGGTGACATTATTGGCCACATTGGCCAAAAAAAGCTGATTGCTGATAATGTCAATTATACTTTCATTGGTACTGATACGATATGAACAAATATATCGATGCACCTCTATTGAATAGTGAAAAAATAGGTGTAAATCTAATAAATCAGATGTAAAAAACAGGTGTAAATCTACATGAGACAGACTTGGCTGGAGAAACTTTTAATCTATCTAGCCTGTGTTCTTGTGGCTTGTTCTGTTGCTGAAGCCATACTAAGGGTTTCTTTTTTTCCCATTTATCTGGACCATCCCTGCTTCTTCTGCAGCTTCTCTCCTTTCCCCGATGTCCCCTCTCCACTTTAAGAAAACCCATCCACATAGAACTGAGAATCAGGTAAGAGACGAATTGAGTTTTACCCATAAAGTCTGTCTTGCCCAGCCTGTGCTGTACTGGAGTCTAATACATTTTTCATTTGGCACTTTAGATGCTGCAGTGATAGGCGTTTTATAGAAAAACCCTAGATATGACTAGCAGCCCTGACTTATAGCTCTCTAGAACAGCAGCATTAGGATAACGGTATAATGCATTCTTCTTGAATCTGGTTTTCTGAAACTTACCTTTTTATTCTAGGCAACCCTGAAGGTGCTGTTGGATCACCTGAAACTAGTGGCTTCTTACCATGAAGTAAATAAGATGACGTGCCAGAATCTTGCTGTGTGTTTTGGCCCTGTACTACTGAGCCAAAGGCAGGAGACCTCCAATCATAACAACAGAGTCTTTACAGATTCAGAAGAGCTTGCTAGTGCCCTCGATTTCAAAAAGCACATAGAAGTTCTGCATTATTTACTCCAGCTGTGGCCAGGTAACACTTAAAAAATATTGTCTGGTTTAGAAGGTAATGTCAAGTCGTGAGATACAATAACTGTAGTAGTTTGCTGCATGATTATACAGACTGGTTCTTCTAAGCTGTAGATTAATAGGTCACAAGTTAAAGCAGGTGGATCATCTGTATGATGTTCCACTATTGAATTTCTTTGAAGGGAAGTCATCTATATCAGTTGCTTCTCTACAAAATGGATATGACAGGGTTTAGAAGCGCACCTGCAAAAACAAAATTGTTCGCAACATTTTGTGTCAACAAAGCAGCAGTGAGATTGTGGGGGGAGAAAAGTAAAATATAGTCAGCTAGTAGTAATGCTTGTGCAGATAACCTGCCTTTCATATGTACCTGATTTGCCCCGAATAGGCCTTAGGTTCTATTGTTTTATGGGTTCTTAAATTCTATAGAGAGACCTGATGGATTATAATTGTTCATACTGTATTACAGTAAGATGGCTAGAGACCCCATGCTGAACATGGTACAACTTTGTAAGAGATGGTTTTGAAGACCGTATCTGTAATGAACTAATCAAGGAAGATGGAAAGCACCCATAGCACCCACTCGTTATACTGGGTGTTTTATGTGCATATCAGTCCTTGGGCTTAGTCTCAAGTGGAAGGAAAGGGAAATTCTTATTTCTTTAATGACCCTGGCAGAACGCAAGTTGGGACAGTTGCCTTGTCAAGATCTGGCCTTCAAAGAGGGGAATGATGCTACTAACCTCTCATTTTACTTGATGTTGAAAAGCACCTGATCCAAAGGCCACCGCATCAATGGAAATATGTTAACTTCCACAAGCTTTTATTTAGGCCCATCAAGACTTATTTTTGCATTTTGTCTTCTGAACTACATTATTTCCCATGTAATTAATGCAGTGAGCTACAGCAAGAGGCTCAGATAGTGCAATCTCACAGCTGTTGAAATATGGAGAATTTGAGAAGATTGCTGTGGAATAAGTACTTTTTATAGTTACGATTTGGCATCTGTTGAATGGTTCCTGCTCTTATATATTCTCTGGCCAATAGAATGTCTATCATTTAGAGCTACTTAAGCATAAGGCAGATGAAGATTTGTTATGCACCCGATTGCCTGAAATGACCAGTCAGTGAAGACCACTTAAGCCATGTCTGGAATGCAGACTTAGCATGCCAAGGAACAGCTTCCTTTTATTGGAAGCAGCATGGCAATATTTTTGTGTGTAGCTACAGGAGGATAAATTGACATAGCTGAGTAATAATAAAGTAACTGAATTTAAGGTTGGTCATATATTGTCTGCTTGATTTAGGAAAATAATATTGAACCCTGTCACAAAACTGGAGTTTTCCACTTGTCCAGTTTTACACAGCAGTGGTTCTCCAGCTTTTTCTTCCTAAAAATGTCTTCAAGTGTGACAGAGTGGGTCTCCCTATTTCATGTTAGATGATTCTCAAAGCATTTCATGCCAGAGACCACCAGGAAGGACTCCTGGAACTTAGGTCTGTGCTACGGGGAGGGGAAGAATGAAAAATATTTCTGGCATGCTGTTTAACATAAATACACAAACACTTGTGGCTCTGAAAATTCAGAGATTAGGAATATTTGTACTGGGCAAGGTGAGTTTAATAGTAGACAAAGTGTGTGAGAAACATGACGTACATAATACATGCAGTCTGCAATTCATTACCTCGTAACCGTACCACGGAAGGAGCACAATGGTGAACAGTGTAAGTTTTAGTATAGATTTTTTTCTATTTTTTTTAAATTGCATACAGATCTTAAAAGTATTTGAAATCAACTTTCCCTCCTACATTACTGTTGTATCCAGCAACGTTCTCTGCTCTCATTCTTGTGGCAGAGATCTCAAAGAGGGTGGCAGTAACTCTAAAAACACCTATTAAGTGTTTTTTAAAATTAGTGAAATAAAAGAATTGTTGGAGGCATAATATGGCCATGGGTGAGACCTGTGTGAAGTTTATTCATCCTGCCTGGGTTACAAGTAGAAGGAAATACAGACATTTTTAGCAGTCCTATTTGAAATGACACAGCAAACATTACAGGTCCAAATAACCACTGAAACCTGCTGAAATGCTTTTTGAAAGTGCCCCGAAGTTTTCTTATGCTGCTTCAGATACTGGTCAGCATAGAGAGTGTTCTGGGGCAGACTCATCCTCCATGAGTACCTCTCTGTCCTAGTTACAAATGATAGCTTCCACCCTGGGAGTATCAGTAGCATTGTTACTACTGCTAAAAATCTTTGGTACAGTATTGCTCTCAATCGGAACTGAATGCCACTTGAAGGTCTGTAACAGGTGCTGTTACTTATACCTTTATATTTCAGCAAAAGGAAAGATGGGTTTGACAGGAAACTCAGTGTTGTGTGGAAAAAAAATAACTGCATATAAGTAAACTCTTCTGTTTTATGTGTGTTGTTTTTGAATGTTCGTTGTCCATCAGGTACACTCAGAAATAAATTGGCATTTTCTGGCTAAGCCAATGTGCTCCTTTTTGATTTGGAAGCAGTAGCACAGGGGTGTCCAACCTTTTTGAATGTGGGGCCAGATGA